CTTACGAAGAAAACCTTTTTGCTTGTAGTAAGAAAAAGAAAAGAAAAGAAAACAAACAGAAGTTCACCACATCATCAAAACATAAAAATGAGCTCTTGGGATATCGAACGTCAACGTAAATTAAATAATGAATTTGATAATATTTTTCGTGAACATGAACGTCTTCAACAAGATCTTAATTCAGATCAAACTCAACATTATGAATCTCTCTTAAATTCTATTAATAAATGGGAAGATGATGCTATTAAAAAAATTCAAAAAACAGCTAAAACTGCACGTAATGATATTGAAAAATTACTTAAAAATACAAATCAACAATTACAACGTTTTGTTAATAATACGATTACTGAAGAATTACGTGAAGCATTACGAGAAAAAAATAAAATTACTGAATTTAATATTGATAAATGGTTAGTACAATTATCACAAGCTCGTAAAGAATTAGAAAATCTATCTTCAACTATTGAATTTTCATATAATAAATCTATTAAATTAATAAAAGTTAACCAAACACATCCAACAACAAATCTTGATTATAGAACATTTTATTTTGAAAAAATTCGTGGTCGTCCAATTTTATACAATACTGAACATGTGATTAGTTCTGTTCGTCCAACAATAGTTTTAAGTGAAAAAAAATATTCTACTGGTACACATTATTTTCGTTTTCGTATTGAAAAAAATACTGATGAATTATTTTTTGGAGTTATTAGTGATAAAGATCATCAAAATTTAATACAAAATAAACATCCGATTGAATCAATTCATGGATGGTGGAATATCGATCGTCGTGTTATTGCTGGTCGAAAAGATGCACATCTTTCTGCACTTAATATATATAATGGTGATGAAATAGTATTAATATTAAATTGTGATGCACGTGAAATTTTTCTTGAATATCCGTCAATGACTAAATTAAATTCAATTCGTTTAGTTGATGATGTTCGTCTTTGTTCACCGCCTTGGAAAGTATTGGTTGAAATAGGTAAACCAGGTAGATGTTTGCTGAAATTAATCGACTGGGGTCTTAGAGCACAAGAAGCAAATCGTACAGAATAACATTGACATTGTTTTTATCGTCTCATAGATTTTTTGATATTTCATCAATGTTCATTTTACTTAAAGAAAAAGCTTAATTTGAACTAGAATAATAATAAAAATTAGTTTTTGTATGTTGCTTTTTATTTAGGTTAAATATGATTTTATTTTAGAATATAAAAAAAAAGAAATCGAGATTAAGTAAAATAGAAGAAATAATGTTCTTTTTTTAAGTCAGTAAATTATATTCTTGATTAGTAAAGTATCGTTCATATGACAAATATCTATGAAATGAAAGAAAATTATTATAAGTATCACATTATATATAATAAATTTGATTACCTTTAAGTTTTTTTCAATGTCATTTCAGTATCGATTAATCGCTGGCAGACTTGTCTAGTTATAATATTTTCAAATGTAATTTTATCGTCGAAATTTAATACTTTAACATCAATATAATTTTTAAATTCTGTAATCATCATATTTAAATGGTTAGAACATCGTAAAACATGATATGTGATGTTTTTCTTTTTCATCTTATTTAATACACCAGAAGCAATTTTTCCACATGGGCAACCATCAGGCCATTTATCGTCCTTACTTGTATGATATATTCTACCATGAGGTGGTGCATCGAGTATATGAAATAATAGATGATCAGCCTTCTCACGCCATGTCAATGCACATGCTGCATCGAGACCATCAAGTACAGCTTCAGGAAAATCACCACCAGAACCACTTTTTAAAGTCGTTACATATTTCATTGCTAATGTATCAGTCGTAAAATCAAATGTACGAAAAATATAATCTCCTTCTGGTGGATGATCTCGATAATCAACAATAGCAAATCGAAAACTAGCTGTTGTTTTTGCAAGTTTTATCAACAATTCTTGATTATCTTTGATAATACATTGAATAGTTTGTTTTACCTTTTCAAAATATGGCTCCATGGATCCAGTTGTATCAATAACAAAACATACATCAATACCTTCATACATATCTAATGATTGATGATTATTTTGACACTCAAAAACATGATTTTCAACATGCCAAGCACCTAATGTGCAAAAGCCTTTGGTAGATTCCTTGAGAATATGACCATTCTTGTCTCGTTCTACATGTTTTTCGCAATATGCATTACATGAATCAATTAATTTTCGATCAGCATCATTAATAGGTGAATGCCATTTGTTTAGTAACCAATATGCTGAACATAAAACTTGATCATACTTTTTTGCGCTAGGTGTATCTAATCCACAATAATAAATATCGTTAGAATGTTTTGCCTTATGACCAAGTTTCTTTTCTAAGCATTCTGAATTACCAAGACATTCAATCAAATGGAAATGCGAACGACCACGACGTTTACACGATACAGTACAATTTTCTGGTTTTGCTGATTCGCCAACTTTATAAACTCTCACAGTAGCCTCTTCTTGTTCACTTGAACGTATTTCAATTTGTTGACTTGGATTTGTACTCGTAAATATATGTTGATCTTTATTTCGATGTATTGTTCTATGATTTCCATCATGATGAATTGGATCTCTACAAAATGAACCACAATCGGGGCATCTTTCTGGACAAGTATGTTGACCATCACAAATATGATGTAGTGATTTATCATGTGAAGCTTTACCAACGCCAATTTTTATCCCGCATTGTGCACGTACTGCTTCTACTTCGATATGGTCATACAAAAATTCAATACCAGATTCTGTCGTCCATTTTCGCTGTTGCGTTTTATATTCTTGTTTGCAAATACCAGGTGCACTGCATATGCCTTTACAATAATGAGGTTGATTACATAAGTGCTTTTTCATTTTTAAGTTGTCATTATTGATACTTATTGAAACAGTTTCTGCAGTAATATCATGATTATGATCACTTACTACACATAAATTACCACATAAAAACATACAAGGTTTCCAACAATCACTATTATTACATCGATGTTCTTCATGCTTCTGAAGCCCCAATGATATAGCACATGGATCCGAACACACACACGTTGCTGGACATTGATGAATACGTTCGCATTGATGATATTTTGGTTCTATGTGTTCATATGCAAAAACACATTTATTATTTTGAAAACCATAAATTTCACAAATTTGACAAAATTTTGTGCAAACATGACCTGCATCGCACTTGTGATCTCCGTCATGACCAGCTAAAAACATACATTTATTTTGTTTGTTGTGATCTTCTTCAAAACATATTCGACATATTCCAGAACACTTGTGATCTGTTTCACAACTACAATGTCTTTGAGCCTCTTTTTCTAACTTTTTTATTTCATTTTTCAGACGTGAATAAATATCCATGTCAGCTAATTCTTTTTCTAATTTCTTGGTTTGCAATTGTGCATTATCATATTCTTTAGTAATTATAGCATACTGCTCTTTGCATGTTTGAGAGTTTTCATAGCGACAAGTAAAATTATTACTCTTCATTGTATTTAACTGTTGAATTAAATCATTATGCAGAGCGTCAAGTCGATTATGTTCGTGAGTAGCTAATTTTAATTTGTCAGATAATGTCATATGTTCTTGAATTAAACGTTTTGCTTCCGTAGCTTTATCAAGTTTTTCTGAAGTAGTGATTAATGATGTTTCAGTTTCAGACAATAGTTGAAAAAGTTCGGTTCCTATGTCATTAAGATATGAGTTGCTCTGAACATTGTTCATAAGTTTTTCATGTTCTTCTTGTTGCCCGACAAAAATTTGATTAATTAACATATCTTCATTTCGATTCTTCAATCTTTCTTCTTCAATGTTCAAAGAGTTCTGTAATTTCTCGATCTTATCATTCAACTGTTTCGATTGTTCTAAAAGTTCTGCAAGATGATTCTGTTTATTTTGATGTTGTTCATAAATATCATAGTAAAGAGTATTCAAAATCTTTACTAACAGGTGGTTATTGTCACATGTATGTTGTCTCTCTTGTCTAATATTGTTCAATAACGTCTGAGTATCTTCAAGTGTTTTGTTAATTTGAATTAAAATATTTTGTTCATCTTCAATACCTTCCGTTTCGTCTTCTAGTTTCAAAGATTCAATGTACTCTTCTTTCTTCTTTTTTCTGTCTTGTGTTTTACATAATTTAGTATGAGCTGACTCAATTTGTTGATCATATGAACGAATAATGTCCATTAGTTGTTTAATTTCTTTGAGTTGTTCATTTAATTGCTGTTTTTCATATTGTTGTTCCTCAATAGATTTAATTTTTGTATTAACACTGTTAATTTTTTCTGTAATTACTGCAATTGCTTGCTCAACATTGCCTATTTGCTCTGTAACTTGAGTGTTCTCATCCATTGAACTGATATTCATTTTGAAAGCTGCTAACTTACATTCCTTTTCTGACTTTTCTTTTAAAAAATACTCTAATTTTATAATCTCTTGGGTTTTTTTTGATTCCAATTGAATAGTATTCAATGTTGAACTATCACGTGTATTGAGTTTCTCTTGTAAATCTGTCATGTAATGTTCAAGTTTTTGAACTTCAGACGAAGTTTTAGTATTTACCAGTGTATTTTCTTCTTCTAGTTCTTTCGATAATGTTTCCCGTTTAACATTTATATCAGATAATTGTTCATTAAGATCTCTACATTCGATCTTCATTATTTCAATTGTTTTTTCCATGTCTTCATTTTCTTTTCTAACATCGATGATTTTTTGTTTAGTATTTTGAATTTCAATTTCACTGTTACTTAATTGTTGCTTATTAATATCGAATTCGTTTTTGATTTTTTCTAAATGTTCTTGGACAAATCTACGATAAATACGTATAGCATCAATAATATTAGGTATCATGTTCAACGATAATAAAGTTTTAACATTAGAATCATCAGTGGATTTATTTTCTCCGGTTGTTTCTTTTTGTTCAGTGGCTTCTTTTTCTACAAGAGAATACCATAAATTATCCTTATATGTGCAATCTGTTTCGTAATTTTGATGGAAATTTGCAATAAGTTTATTGATATCATCAATTTTATATTGATCAGGATTCACTAGCAGCTCAATATCGTCATTTAATTTAGGTAATAATTGATCGAAACATATCAAATTGTCATCCAACGACAGAATAGTTTTTAGTTGATTATAAATATCATTCATTGTTTGTGTAAAATTGTCGATTTTGCTCTTTTCAGTATTTACTTCGGAACTACATTGTGTAACATTTGTTTCGAGATTTTCTTTATCAGATAAGTATTTTAATTCAATTGATAAGGAAATATTTTCTTTATGAAGTTGATTTTCATTTTTCTTTGCAGCAAGAACAATATCGTTTAAATTTTTAATTCGCTCTTCAATGTTTTTTGACGTTGTTGAGTTTAGTAACACTTGTAGCTGCACTAGTTGATCTTTCTTCTTTTCAAGTAAAGATTTTGCTTCTTCTGTATGTTGAGCATTGTGTATGCATTTTAAATCACATGATGAACATTTTTTTAAACATATTTGTAACTTAAAAGAAAGCATATATTGTTTCATTGAATTAACAAATTTTGTTTTTCGTTCTTTGATATCATCATTTTCACTAGGAAACTTTTTTTGAAAACGTTCAGACATCAATTTTTTTACTTGCTGACGACGAAAACTCATCACTTCATAAATAAGTTCATTAACAATTGAATATAATTTATTATTATCTTCGTTAGTATCATTAGATAAAGTAGTAATCGAACGTATTGGCATCAGAATAAATTCGCAAATATTTTCAAAATTAATATCCGGTGAGTTTTCATCAAATTGTAAAAGAGTATGATTTAATTTTAATGAATATAGTGTATCTTCGATCTTTTTTTCAATTAATTGCTCTTTTAATTCAATACTTTCTTCGTTATTTAAATGAAATTTGGTCCAAGCTTTTTTCATTTCGTCTTCTAACTCAGCAAATTTCATATCAGAATGTATTTTATTTGAATCAATAAAATCATCTGTATATAATTGTATTAGAAGAATTTTTAATCGATCAGCTAAATCTTTTCCATTTCCCCATCGACAAGCTATTTTTGATCCTGTAATTTCATCTTTTATAACATGTTTAATGAATATTTGCCGTAAATTATCAATTTCATGATCGAAATTTTTATTTTCGAAATGATGTAATAATTGTATTTTGAATGTGTTAGAAAAGAGTTGTTCAAGAAAACCACTTTTACCTTTTCTTTGTAAATCCGAAAATTTCTTTTCGGCAGCATTAATAGATTCATCAGCATTACTATCACTAATGTCACGTATTGCAACTAATAATATACCTTTGAATAATTTATCATTAATGCCTATTTTATCAACCGCTTGAGATAATATACCAAATAATCGATCTTGAAAACGACTAAATCCTAAATCTTGACTAAGAATTGTAATATCACATAGAGCAGATAAAAATGAAATAAGCTTGATTTCTTCGTCTTCAGTTCGTTGATCACTAAATAACCCTTCACAATCCAATACAATAAAATGTGCATTTTCAAAATAGGCATAACTCATCCAAATTCCATCGGTACATCGTCCAGCTGCAACAGCAAAACGTGTTCGAAATATTTTATTCATTAAATAACTTTTTCCAGTAGATTGACGACCAATAATTCCAATAACCTTGATATCATCGTTGATATTGTTTAAAATATTATCCAAATACGATAGTGAGATTTCTCGTGCTTTCATTTCAATGCCAAATGATTTCGACGATAAATGATCCATTTTATCGCGTCGCCCGTTATTCAATGGTACAAGGGTACCCATTTCAATTGTGCAAAGTTGTAACGGTACTCGACTAACTATATTTGTAACTAATAATTGAATATTCAATGATGGAGAAATAAAATCAGTATCTGTATAACCGAGTTTTAAGTGTGCTTTCATATTTAAATCTTTAAAATATTTCTTGATACGATCAGAATATTTATTATATTTTGATGGAAGATCAAAATAATATTGAGTTTCATCTGAAGAATCTGGAACTCCAAATTGTAATTCACCTCTTTTAATAATATCTAATATTCGATTACCAATATATTGTTTAGTTGATTTTTCTAAATTATTGAAACTTGATTGACGTTCAATTCGTGTATCAGATATAAGATTTTGAATACAATAAACTTCACTAAAGTGTGCATTAAATACTGCACAATATGTATCAATAAAATCTGTAAAAATTTGCATTCCATACACGGATGGTTGATGTTCTAATATAATACTGTGTATTTGACAGTAGTTTTGATTAATAATATCAATAGAAGATTTAGCTTGAAAGAAAAAAACAGGATTTTTGTCTCCAATCGTTTGCACTGCTTGATAAAGATCACCATTGTCAGCTGTGAAGTTTGACGTATCTTGAGAATTAGTTCTACTTTTAGACAGTTGAGATATATTTACGTAGTTGTCTTCTGAAATATTTAGTTCATATACGTTGGAATTGGAATCAATGAGAATGAGTAAATTTTGTGCGACAGTTAACGCAAGACTTCTAACGCCTATTGGCTTTTTTGAATGATCATGTAAAGACAGGCAAGAAATTTGTTGTATGTGTCCAAAATCATCTAATAAACACAATGTTACATTTCCTTGATCAATATTATATAGAGCTAAGGTGTGTGTACTTGAATTAAATGAATATGCCAAACGAACATTCGAAAGATGAAAATCTGTTAGTTTTCTGAATATTTTATTCTTATGTAATACAACAGTGTATCCTGGTGCACCTAATTTCTTAGATATGATTGTGGGTCTTTTTATAACAATGATTTCAGTTTTACCATCATTCATTTTGAAGCAGCCAATAAGTTCTGTTTGTTTTGCAAAGGTCGAACGATCTATCTCTGATAAATCAGAAATATTAATGAACTGACCAAGATCATGCAGTCTTATACAAATCGGAGTTGAACGGGTAGCAGTAAAATACTGTAAGCTATTATCTGTATCATTAAATAAGGTATAAGATAATGGTAAAATATTATAATAAACTTCGTACTGTATTTCAGATTGAACTGTTATATATATGTGCTCTACCAAATTTTGTTTTAATTTAAGCATGACCTTTTTCTTATCGATATGTTGCAGTATTGATTTGAAATCGTTCATTCGTTTAACGTCGATATTATAATTTTTTGATATATGCCTATGGAATGTGCTGGTAAATCTATTATAAAACTGATCTACACTTTCATTAATATACTTTGGATTGACTAACCATTCAGCTGCCTCATTGTATAACTGATGCTTTAAATTCTGATCGATACTGGTACCCATTGTAAAAAATTTAGCAACTGTATTCTCGATACCAAATAACTTTTTTACTAACGCACTTGCTTGTTCATGAATATTTAATTTTTCATTCTTGTATTTTGTAGTATGCTCTTCAAGAAGCTTCTGGATTTGTAATTCCTGATTTGTTGATAAAAATATTCCATATTGAAAACAACAAAATAAAATTGGACGTAGAGTCAGTGTGTTAATATTTAAAACAATTGCTAATGATTCTTTCAGTTTATCATATCTATTGGTGGTTGACTTTTGATTTGGCTCTTGAAATAATTTTTCATAACAATATATATTTGCTGTATTATTAGTAATAAGAATCTTTCGCTGCTGTCCAGTCAATAAAGTCTTGAAAATATCCTTGTCATCGAGCTTAATTTTTTGTGGTGGCGAAATATCATCTTGTTCTTTCTTCACCTGTCGATATGTTCTTGTTTCATGTGGTTTACCATGAAAAGAGTGCTGTGTTGAAAAATCAGAAAAAAATGTATCTGATGGGCATATAATAATATTTTGACATATATCTTGTAGAAATCTTTGCATCACACTCATGAAATAATTGTGTTTTTCTAAACTTATATCATCAGTAAAAACAAGTAGAAAAACAAATTTCATAGTATTATAAACTACCCAAATAGCTGGCATTGAATCTTGTGTCATGAATATCGATTTAATATCAGTGTGATTATTTGAGAATAATGAAGATAAGCAAGTCTCAAGAGAGTTTTTGTCACCGAAGATACCAAATACTTGTTCTTGTTCAGGATTTAATTGATGCAATGTCACGATAATTTTGGACATATTTTGAGAATCGCTTACTATTTTGTATTCTTCGTCGCTTGCAGAAGAATTATGATCCACATAAAATAATCGATGAATTTCCAAATGTTCTGAACTCATGTCGAGTTCTTTTTTTAATTCTCGAGAAAGTGTGGACGACGTTTCGGTCACTTAATAATAGAAAAAAACAATTTTTCAATATATTATTTATACATTGATTTTCTAACAGTAGTAAAAAATTCTTTTTTTATAAATTTTACTATGCAACTGGTGGCATTTATTAGGCCTGAGATTAACTATTCTAAGTATTTCTTGAGTATCGTCATAGTATACGCCAATGACAGAACAAATATCAATCTGATTATCTACATACGCTTTATCAAAAGCTTTGCTTATGTATCTAAAAAGTTGTTGATTGATAGTAAGTTCTTTCTCCACTACTTATATATATTATTATTTTTGCTACGTGCTCAGCTGAACGATTTACTGTTTCTATCAATGTTTTTCTTATGTCTGTTTGCATTTATCTTTAATTACAACACACTCAATATATTTTAGGACGATAGATATTAGACGATGTTGATATATATATATTTGAGGCTCGAAATTTCATGTACAATAGATACTTAAGTTGGAGTATAGTACGAGTATTTCAAGAACCCTGCTCAAATGACCTAAAAGTATACAGAATGATAATCATCAATACAGCTAAATTTAGAAAACCACTGATGTTTTCGAAGTGACTCTTGCATTTCAATAAAGGAAATGTTAATAAAAATATAAACAAGCTTATTTAATCAAATGTGGGCTCAAAAAATATTTCTGAATCCGATGAGTTTTATTATATATTACAGGTCTTAGAATTAGTGAAGAAAGAAAATATCTGCACACGATAGGGAATAAAAAGAGTTAATTTGTAACTTGGAGACATGTTTCATTATTTTGACAGGAACAGTATCGTATCTATGAAGAAAGAATTTTTTCGAAGACGTTTTGTGGACCATACTAAAAAATTTAAAAACTACATTCAACTGTTTCAATAGTTTATTCAGAATAATACTGCTATTTTATAAGACAAAAAATATTTTCTTTACCTAAAAAATTATGAACTTACTTTTATATAAATTATTTCAATTTATTCGAACACATTAATTAATAAAACATCTATATTTGAAGTAAATTTTAATCTAGAATAAAATAGAAACTGACCGTTATCAACATCATCAATATAACAAAAGCCCCTATATTCATGTATGTATATATTTATACTAAAAATTTAAACTGATCTAAACAAAGGAAATAACCATATTTTTCTCTATGTAGATTGGATGCTATATCTTAAAAAAATAAACAATTAAAAACATGCAAATATACAAAGGTCAAATAAATATTGACAAAACTCGAAAGAATATTATTGTATACAATTATATCTCTGCTTCTATGAGAATTTATTAGTATGAATTGAAGTTGGATTTATGTTGGATTTATCTCATACTGCGATAGTTTGGGACAAAATATCGAATATTTTTTCACACACTGGGAAAAAACAAAAAAATATATAAAGTATAAACATACCTCTACGTGACGTAAGCAGAAAGAAAAAGTGACAGGTATAGATAGTTTTTATCCCTTTTCTTCAGACAATACTACTGAAAGCGATTGCTATTTGCTACGGTTGATTTCGATGCAACCATGACATCTATATCACGGTTAAGTCTTTCGTGTTTTCTTTTCTCTTGTTAGTATTATATATATTGTTGAACAAAATAAAAAGTCATTTATGTTCTAGCAAATGTCGAACACACGCGCCTACACATCTCACTAACGGCCATAACACTATTAAACGAGTTAAGTTTATTTTCATTCACTTAGCAATTTATACGACTTCTAAACTCGATAAATTGAATTTATTTAGAACAAACTATTTTGATTTCAACAACAATTTATTAATAATAAAGGTTTCGTATATTCTGTATAATTTTAACAACAAGAATTAGCTCTGTGCAGCAATTTACTATAAGAATGAATCTCAAGATTATTTTATATTTATATATGTATTTTTGCCTGCTGAAATATATTACATATTGCCATGAATGTTGACAAAGTACGATGATCGATATAGGTGATATTCATTTTAAGCATTTATCTACAGTCTTACTATTAATAGAATCAATAGATCATTTTTCATGCTACTTTGCCTTAACAGAAAGGTATATTATATTTTAGATCACTAAAAAGTATTCTTATCTTTTTATGTGTATTTCTCTTTATTGATAAATCAATATATCAATCTTCATACCTTATATTGTTCTTTATAATAGAGTATTTATTAAAAACAGTTTGTTGTAAAATTTAAATTGTGCCAATTAATTTATTTTGGTATATATAATTAACTGATCAGTAAATAATTCAGAAGCTCATTATTTCATTTTTTTTAATTCATTACTTCTAAATTGATTGCAGTAAAACTAACATAAATTCGTTGAATCAGTATGTATTTTTTATAGACGTGAAGGTGTTAGTATGATTTCAGCTAAGAAATCTATATTTTGCCAACATTCATACATATATTCGCCCTATTACTCAGGAGTGATAAATCGAACAGATAAACAGAATCAGATCTTTCATTTTCGAAATAATAGCTATGTATATTTGAAATAACTAGGAAAGACACCAGAGACGCTTGGAAAATACATAACGAGAATGTGGTTGTATTCAAAGAGAAGATAAATCTAAGTTCATTCAAAAATGGCACCAACATTTATAAAACACTCTTTATTTTCTGCTCGATAATATTTAGAACGACTGACATGCGTCTTTTGTGTAAGAAATAGTACATGAAATTAAACTAATGTGGTACAATTCGAGTTTGCACCATAAGTTGATAATAATAAAACTAATTCTAACTCACAGATTTACTTTGATAATTTTTAACTATCATCATGACTGTTTCTTTTTCGAATGAGAATATATAGATCATACTCTATGACATGCGAAATTAATAATTGCTGATATGATATAATAAAAAACAATTTCACATATTCAACTCTGATCATGGCTTAAATAGGATATCATGCTATAATTGAAATTGTAAAATGATACTTATGTGTTAATGATGACAGAGCAAACATTTGCATATAAAAATAATTTTTCTTTTACCATTTTCATCAATATTAGTTTGCACACTATTGTGAGTAAAATACGACAAGTTTAAAAAATGAAACGACTGTTATTGTCGATACTGTTTGTTCTGTTTATTAATAAATGTGTAAGTCAAAGAGGTTTTCCAAAACAATTTCAAACAAGTTTAAATATAAGTGGATCAGCATCAGTTCCAATATTAACTCCTGGTGTTCAATACTTATTGTACGACTATAACAATTTAAGAGTTCGTTCTGATGTTCAAGGATGGCGAGCACAACAAAACGAAACCTACATGATTAAATACAAACCTGAGGGTGCTGAAGCAGATTCAGTACGTAGAAAATAATTCATTATGAAATATAGTATTAATCATGAAGTCCGTCTTTTAGCCAGCATCACAAGGTTATACAATGTTCAATTTTAATCCTGATTATCCAGCGTTGACAAAAGTAAAAAGAAAACTTGTTTTTTTTCTCTAAATAAGATTTGTTTTTCTAAAGAACGATTGTTGGTATAGAACAAATCCAATGGGTGATGTAGGTCCATTTCCATGGAGTTGGTTTTATGGTTCAAATGAACTTCATACGGAAATTCAACGATGGTTTCCATTACCATCAAATCTTATCAATATGGGTGAAGAATGGATACCAGAAATTCAAGAAAATGCAACAGTATATTTCTTTTCATCTCGATAGGATGAGAATATGATAATATGTAGTAAAAAGATTTTGTTTATTGTAGAGATATGATTCACCAGAAATATGTGACTTAAAACGATCTGGTCGTGGCAAAGTTCCATGTTTAAGTTATTTTGAAACAAAAGATAGACCAGCTAGAACCATTACTGCGCGTGCTGCTCAAGGATCCTACGATGCTGATGAGTAAGTGTAAATTGTGTGATTTTTATAAATATAATAAATAATAGCATGTCTATTTATATAGCTATATAATTACAACTTATTTATCATTTACTAATGGCATTCCATCAGAAGCTGAACATTTATTTGATGTACCTAAGCAATGGCCTTCTTATTGTGGCAATGCAAACACTGGTAAATGATAGTTGCCAATTATTTATCTGATTTTATGCTGTGTTGCTATAGGTTTTGATGTTGATCCCGTACATGGATATGTAGTAACTCCAGATGGTCAAGATCATTTTCAATTAAACTTAAAAACACCACCAGTTCATGCACTAGGTGATGAAATTAAAATTGAGTTTAAAGTACAACCAAATTGGTATTATAATGGTACACGATGTGCTCAATTCAATCCAATTATTTTTAATAAAACAAATTGGCAAGTACCACAAAAAGTTGACATGTCTTTTATTGATTACGGTTGTTGCACATATGAAATTACTGCAAATAGTGGTGGATATGATTGGCAATATCAACCAAATACATTTGTTGTTTATGCATGTGATGGACAAGCTGGATATGGTTGTAAAGGTAGAGAACCATGTGGCGCCTGAGAACATTCAACAACAAAAAGAATCATATTTAACACTGATATATGTACGCGAGATTAAAAAACCTATTTCAGTTTATTATAACTAAATAAATATTCTTCTTGAGGGTGTGGATGTGAATGTTATTATTATTTTTTACTCACATTCTGAGCAAATTATCAGTATATTGAGATACTCAGATATGTTAACCGTACTTCCAAAATATTTGTTCTGAAAGAAATAGTATAAGGACAATAGTATTGTTTAGCTAGAGAATACATGACAAACAAGTCGTAAAATAGCAACACACAAAAAGAAAAGTTAACATGGTGTTATCAACAAGCAGAAAAAAATAAATACTAAGTCTCACATATAACAACAAGCATGCTGTGCCCATATCAACTATTCGTTCGTTCTTTGCCACTAAAACAAGATATTTCACTAGTTACACACACACCAGATAAAAGAACTGTTTTTTGCTACAGATGGAAAAGATCGCGTCAGAAACAGACAATGAAAGTATTATTATAGGTAATACTTCCAATTTCTGGCGTTATTCGAGTAAAGATGGTTTTGATTTAACTCGACAGAATAATCATCAGACTGGCTCTTCAATCTGTCTTGAAACAACAACGACAGCTATTCGAATCGATCCAGCACGCTCTGCTCTTGTTATTATCGACATGCAAAATTTCTTTCTGCATCCAGCCGTACGAGCACATGAGCCAGGACTTGCTGCATCAAAGCAACTGCTTGAAAATGCAATTCCCATAGCTCGTAAGGCAGGTATTCAAATTATTTGGCTCAACTGGGGTTTAACACAAGAAGATATAGATCAGGCACCACCGGGACTGAAGCGAGTATTTGGCGCTTGTAGTAGTGTTGAATCTAGAAATAAGCAATCACCACCAAAGACAATTTACACAGGTTTAGGAACTGAGATGGGTGACATCATATTATCCAGTGGCGAACATGTTGATGGTGGAAGATTACTGATGCGTGATACTTGGAATGCTAAACTCTATGATCCACTTTTTCAGAGCTATGAAAGTAGTCGACATAGTGTGAAGCCTGATAAATGGTTTCATAAAGTAGGAACTTTGTAATTTATCGATGTACATATAAATTGATATTTTCATGTATAATCCTATAGAATCGTGTATCTGGTTTATGGTCACATGAATCCCCCCTACTTTCTTATCTCAACGAGAACAACTTAATTACACTCTTCTTCGCTGGTGTGAATACTGATCAATGTGTTTTAAGTACATTTAACGATGCATCCAGCAAAGGTTTTGATTGTATTCTGCTAAGTGATGGTTGTGGTACGATGAGTTCATCATCTGCTCGAGAATTTACCGAACATGCGTGTGCACGAGGAGAAGGTTTCGTGATGGATACAGAGGCATTTACCAAAGGTGTCAAAGCCTCTATACATTAGTTTTCATTTCTTTTTGTTTGAATTATTTGCTACATGTTTCAATATTGATTGAATATTTTCTATTACAATTGTGCAAATAAACGTTAGATTTCGAATAGAACTCTACATTAAGAACGCATATTGAAGATTCATTGTTGTCGTACACTCATATTTCTAAACGAACAAAAGATAAGTTATCAACATAGTGAATCTTTGTTTCTTTTCTTTCAATGCCCATAAAAAACCGTCATTATTTACTTCTAACTCATAAATGATAGCAAAAGAAAATAAAAAGCAAGTCATCATATAATCTTACTTATTTTTTTGTCTGCTTGTTGACGGCTTCAGAGGATACACGGATTTATAATACAATACAAAATTATGACTCATCAGGTGATCTCTACATTACCACTCGTCGGTGTTGAAAAGTTTTTTTGTTTACATGGTGGTTGGTTAACTATCGCACATGCTGCTCATTTGAGTGGAAATTATTCGATATTAATTAGCAATGCTTCAAATGCTCTCCAATGTCTTTTGAAACGTCATTCTCGCATGCGCACACGTCTTCGAGTAGATGATAATCGATATTCTCTTGACAATCTTCAATACAGCTGTGAACATTTATCAAGCGATTTGTTTTTCTCAGCTATTGAAATAAGCAATGAGTCGTGGCAAGATATCGTTGAACGCCGATGTAATCAAGATCCATATTCAAATAACGGAACGATTATTTTTCCATTATTTCATTTTATGCTTTTATTCAATTCGGAACAGTCTGACGATCAACTATTTCACTTAATTCTCTTTCAAAATCATTGTGTCTCGGATGGTCAAAGTGGATTTATTCTTATTCATGAGTTTTTGACTTTGGCAACCACTTCGAATGCTCTCGAAATATCAGAGCCACTCAATACAGAAATACTTCCATTACTTGGCCAACTGATTCCTCGTCCATATGGTTTACTTTATCATATCATAGCATTCATAGGCAGATACATTTTCATACGAGAATTACGCCAACTAACTCATCCACGTATTCCTGTCAAAAGCATTCCGCTAAGCGACTGTCAACCAACAAGATTTAGAGTGCAGCGGTACAAAATAAGGTTTTTATTTGCTTCGAGTTCTTCGAATCTCTATTCTAAACTACATCCACAATGTCGTCTACATAGAGTGACATTAAATGGTCCGCTCATGGGATGCCTCCTATTGGCCATTCATCATTGTTTTCCATTAAACGATAACACTCTACTGAAGCCATTGGGAATTGGTGTTCTGTTTAACATGCGTTCGCGTCTTCCTCAATCACCTCTCACACCTTCTTCAGTCGGCTACTTCGCAGGCACGGGTGAAGTTAAGCTCAAACGATCGCTTTCCATTCGATCTACTCAATTTTGGACACTGGCACACTACTGCATGACTAATACTCAACATCAACTGAAGCGAGATGGTGTCCCATTAACAATGAATATTTTTGCTGATATATTGAGAAATGAACAAGAATTCGACGAAACTCGTCAACTCTTTCCAGAAGGACGATTTTCAGAACTTGGCTTTTCAAATATTGGTAAATATCCGTTTTCCTGCAAATATAATGAAGGTGAAGTACAACTACAAGGTATTCATGTCGTCAACAATATGAGTGTCTATCGTACTTCAACCGATATCTTTGTCACTTGTACAGATAACAAACAGTTAGACTTTTCCATGGCGCATGAAATGGAGAGTGATGAAATGGCACAAGGTTTTCTTGACTATTACTTGCGTCTTATTGAACTATGTGCTGATAGTGAACGTTGTAAAAGTGAAACAACTCTAGATGAACTATTAAAAATGATGGAATGATCATAGATATTGTAATCGAGAGATTTCCTAAATAAAGAAATATATTCGGATCGAATATTTTAAATAGTCGAACGCTAGTTGAAACAAAAAAAGACAAAATTGTTCGACAGAATTAGAGAAATATATTGTATTAAAGCTTGGTATCTATACAGCATGTAAGTTAACTATATCATGTAGAATATTTCATATTTTACAATATGTTTGACATGGTAATCGTTCAACGAATATTTGGAATATATTAACCAGAAAGAACATAGGAATTGTTTCTGTAATATTAATACTCATATCCACTCCACTCTCACCCACACCTACACCATGAAGATCTGGAAAAATTATTAGAGGAAATCGTTTTCAAAACGAGTTTTAAATTTATTCATCAAGAAAGAAAAGATTGACATACAAATACAACATCAAATAGATTTATATTTTAAAAAATGTAATGAGAGAATAAGAGAGTAGAATATATAATATATTGTTTATATTTGTGTCATAACCATATGAAATGATTTCATATACTTAGATGAAATACTCTTCGACTTCTTTGTATCTTATTTCGATATCGAGCAATAGTCTTATGAAATTCTTGCCTGTAAAATGTTGATGGTAATACATATATAAAAAAAATTAACATCGGTGGAATAAATGAAATAAAATATCCAATAAGATATATCCATGAATTATTTGATGATTTCATACATTTCGATACATAAGATATTATTAAACGTGGTAATGCAAGAATAACTAATACAACTGGAACAATTAATAAATTTTTATGTTCATGTAATTGTTGTCGTAAAAGTTGATAATAAGTTCGATCAGTTTGTAAATTTGATTGTTGATGAGATTTTCTTGTGATCAGAATAATAGATGATACTAAATTTATTATAAATGGAGTAATAAAATGAAAACTGTGCATTATAGAATTAAATTTTCTTAAATAAGATGAGTAAGTAATAGTACACCATATTCTTCTTTCATTATCATTTATTTCATCCATTAAATGTCGATAAAAAGGATCATAAATCGATGTACTTATGATAAAAAGAATAAGAATAATAATGATTATTTTAGCTGCTTGTTTACTTTTTTTCTTTTGAAAACGAGTACCTTTTATTATTGTAAATGCTCGTTCACTAGCTACACAAGCATTTAACCATTGATCCATATTAAGACAGGATTGTAGAAGAAAATCAAGAGTAATACATTGAATATTTAAAAATATTCGATTTGGTACGATTGTCATTTGTGAAAAAATAGGTATCCAACATTTTAATCCAAATAAAATTATTGTAAATAAAGTTGTTATTGATAAACTAAATAAATATAGACCACTACCAACATCACGTACAATTTTATTTTTAAATGTTATCATAGCAAGAATACCATTAATAAAATCAGCTATAATAAATATAATAGTTAATATTAAACTTATTATTACGATAGTTGGTTGATATTTTATACTAAGATTTGGTATAATATGATAACCTAAAATAGCATCGAGGGATAAACCAAATCCACTTGTACTAAATTGGCACTGTGCTCCAAAAAAACATGAAGGACAAAGGCATAGTGATCTTGTCGGACAATGTGGAGAATCTTGAAAACATTTGCCACCATTTTGACATTCATTTTGACCTGAACAATCAAATATCATATCATGATTAAATTCAAAGCAATTAGCAAGACGTTGTTTATAATAATCATAACATAGACAAAGATGAATATTATCATAAAAACAAGAAAGATTTAATGAAGACATTTGACATGGTAAATGATAATATTTTATTCGACGAATAAGATCTAATTTAATAATACTATCATTAAATATTTCATTGATATGTTTACAACGATCTGATGGTTTTATCATTTGATTAATTGTTGTTGATCGATTATAAATATTTTTAACAAAAGTTAAATAATAATTTTTTTCAAGAAGTTCAATAAAACCAATATGAAATGGTCTTGACCAAAATATTGTAATAAAATCTTGTTGAACAGGAATTGTTTGAAATGTAGTTGATCGCACTGGTCTATCACGATTCATAACTTCAATAAAATGAATAAATATTGATTGTGGTACAATAATAGATTTTTCAAATGATAAAATTATTTTATTATCTTCTAATTCATATCGTTCTCCAAAATAACCTTTTCGACAAATACATATAAATCGTTTCTTCGATAACATATATTCATCCGTCGGAATACATAGAACGCCATTTTGACATGTTAAATTTTGACATATCATATTGTTAAGAAGACATCGAGGACCAAATTTATAAATAGGACAAATGCATATTGATTGATCAGTAGAAGAAGAAATACCAATATCTAATGAATCAGATGAACATATTGAAGAATGTTGAATTGTACAATAACGACCAGACCATCCAGTATTACAATGACACAATCTTTTTTGTTTATCATTGAAATATTTAATACATTTACCATTGATACATCGATTATTTGAACAACTTTCAAAATGAATATTATCATTTGGAATATTAGCGATTAATGCTAAACGATAAACAGGTAAAAATGAAAATTTAATTGGAAAAAATAAACTTCCACGATATTTTAATGAAATTTTCTCATAAATATTAAATTGTATTCCATAATTTTTTGTTTGATTTTTTGGTCGATTTGAATAAAGTAAATAAATATTATATTTAACTTTACAATCTCGTGTTGATAAATAAGTAATTTGTTCATATGAATGAATTATTTGTTTATTATTATCATCATCAATTAATAAAATAACAATTGCAAATGGTATTTGCCATGAATTAGGTGACGTTGTAAATTTAATTGATAGGCTTACTGGTTGATTTTGATATTGACATTGATCACCATAATAACTTGGTGGACAAAAACATATTTTTCTTGTTCGATTAGTTTTATCATTTAACCATATACGTACATCAATACCACGATGACAATGAAGTTGTTGTTGAATAGATGTTACAGTTATAGGTGGACTTAAACGTACTTCGTTTTTTATATGTTGTTTTGTTTGATCTTTTAGTGATTCCTTCATTCCATTAAGAGTAAAGTTTATAATTCGTTCTTTTCCATATATTCCTACTTGATTGCATAAATAATTTTCGATATTCGAAACATTTAGACGTTCCGACGGATCACAAAAAGAAGAAGTTTGATTTTTATATGTTGTACAAAAATTTTTATAATCTCTATCATCACAAGCATTCAAACTGTTACATAGATCCCAAGTTCCGATACATACTTTTGAGTTTTGCTTTTTGCAATAAAAGTTATCCAGATTCATTATTTGATATTCTTTGCGACATAATGTTGGTTCATCGGTAGCTCCAATACAATCAACTCTACCATCATTTGCTTTGATAATTGGTAAATAAATAATTTTATACGTATTAGGTGAAACACATTTATGCCATCCATTAATATTGGTAATAATTCAGTAGATCTATCACATATTATTTGAAATGAAATATGTTCGCGGAAATTTTTTAATTTTATGTCTGATTCTTCTTCTGGAGGTTTAATTTCGTCTATAGAAATAGTATGATTAACCGAAGTTATATTTTCATCATCACTATTCGGACAATCATTTATACCATTCATACGACGATGTATAGAAATACATTTTAATGAATTCGAACATTGATACATATTCGATCTATTACAAATTATAGAATTATAATTATAAATTTCATGGTATTGCCAAAGTTTTGAATGTAAGTGTTGTAAATAAAATTGTGGTGATGGAAATACATCGGGTTGTTGAAATAATTCTGGATGAATACCACGATGATAAATTAAATTATTATAACGAGAATTACTATAACATATATAAGGAAACAGAAACTTTCGATAGTCCAACATTGTTGGACTATATTTTTCATAAGCAAAATAAATATCACCAAATAAAACTGGAATAGTTGGTATGAATAACATATTTGGGCAATCCTGTTTGATCATTAAAAGACATATATGATACTTACAAAAATCATTACATCTTGTATCAAAAGGATCTTTTGAATAACTAAAAACGCATAAGAATGCATACCAACATTGATAATATATTGATTCGTCTTTGATATTATCCATGGTTTCGAATAATAATTGTTCACGTTTTATCATACAAGAATCTGTTAAAGGTGAACTCTTACATGTTACGTCTTCACATTTAAATAACGGCATCTGTGAACTACATAGATGTGGGAGAGGACGATCCCTCTCATCTAAATCAGAAGCGTCAAGACAATCAGGAGCATGAATATCATCTTGAAAAAACGATTTGTCTATGCATTGTCCATTAGTACATCGATATTCATTTTCATTACATTCATTTATTTCAAGTTGCCAGCAATATTCTTCATCAACTCCACCATCAATACAATCAATTTGTCCATTACAAATTTCTGTTCAATCTAAACATGCTGGATGATGACCACGATTACATTATAAATGCATGTAACAAGTAAGATCCGTTGGATTATATGAATAAATATTATAGAAATTCTTAATCATTTCATATAAAGATGGATAATCTGAATGACAATAATCAAGTTCATATTGACACATTGAACCAAATCTTGGCAATGTACAATTATAAAAGATCTTTTCTGATAATGGTGAATCGTTTGATATTAATAATTGATTTAAATACCATTGATAATCTTCAATAATATCTGTTGGTGTTGACCAAAGATATAATTGCTGACCTGTTATATTTTGTTTTGAAAATTGTTCAAAAGTAAACTTTGGAAAATAACCATTTTCTTCTATATTAAATTTCGATGAGAATTCATTCATACAATAAAATAATATTTCACGATAAACATATTTGTCTCCATTTAAAACATCAATACGTAAACAATCATGTTGTAATAAATCATTATTTTCATTTTCATTTACCCCACCTGTATGATGAAGATTGATTTGAAGTTGACCGATAACCAAATGAAAAAAAATAAAATACAATAAATATTTCATACGAAACATTTAACGTGTTATATAATAACAAAAAATAATGAATTCAGTATCGATTATTTATACATGCCATTCCTATCGTTCTTTTATAAAAGCATTTGGAGTTGTTGTTTTTAGAAAAAAATCATGAACAAACTCATTTGTTCCTGTCTGAATGATGAAATTATTAGAACAGCTAATGACGTCAAATCACCATTAAATAATGCCTTTCTCTGACGCAAATCCTGGTAAATATCTGACTTTTGACGTAAAAACTTCTGAAAATAGTTCAGGAAAAACGCTATTATATTTTTTATTGGCTGAAAAATACGTAAGCAAAATTAAATAAATTTATTACGCATCTACGTTGAGAATTGTTTCGAAACGTATTCAAAAAGACCTTAAAAAATTTTATTTTTGTTAATGGATAAAGAAAATTAAAATATGTTGTAGAAAAATAATTCAATTTTGTTCATTTCATTGGATATAGTGTATTAATCTTTTCTATAATACCATTATTGGCTCTATTCTTAAGTGATATTTCATGTCTAACTAGAATTGCTATTATTTATTAAATGATAACTGATCTCCTTTTCTCTATGACAATAACAACAGATATAATCATAATATTCTCTTGAAGTACGGAGATAAACAATCATTTGTAAATGTCAAATGATATAAAATTTATGCATGAATATTGTATTGTTTAGTAGATAAGCCTATGTCATTAGTATCTAGAAGAGTAAAAATCATATATCTTGTAGTTGTGTATGATATTTTCTCACTTTTTTTACAACAAGAAATTAGAAGAAGAATAATCATGAAGATACATGTTTTCTATTCTCTGAACGTTTGCATTCTTTTTCATCATTGTTTTATTCAGATGCAGTACTCTTTTCGTAAAGGAACGTAGTTTGATTATAACAGCTCTAAATATTTTTAGAAGCTTCCCGTTTCTATCGTCTCGGTATCTGTATACATTATATCTACATTAAATAACGCATGTGACACTTTTTTATTATGGATACCGCTGGTTTACGACGGCTATCGAAATTTATTCGGTTTTACAGAAAACGAGTTGATACAAACTTATTCTGCAGAAAAAATAATTTTTCCTGTTATAGACATTGTTAGGCTTTAAAATATATGTACAAATTAACTTCAGAAACATTCTCGACCGGTGGTACATTTAAGATTTTTTGATTGGAGAACCACGTTATATATGTTGTTCAGTCAACCGTTACAACTTTTTTTCTACCATAATATGACTACAGAATAAGATGAGTCAAAGATATATTGAATGATTTCGTTTAACGTATTGACTATAAGACGTTTGTTTTATGGAATAATAGTTTTGAATTGTACAATACTTTGAATTATGTGTCTGACTTGCTGATCGACTTGTTTTTGTTATAGATTTTTATATTTTTACATTTTCTTGTCTTTGTAATTAAGGATGACTCATTCAGTTTAAAATATTAAATTAAGGTAAGCAGGTCCAGTTCTATTTGTAATCGTTAAGACGTTGTCAGTAACGATCATTAAAATATTTTTTAAGAGTAAAAATCAAACAATTTGTTTCATTTCGTTTTTTTTATTGTCAAAATTTAGATATTTAACAAAGGTTTTTATTTTTGTGAAAGTGAAAATGAAAAAATATATTTATTTTATTTGTAGATTTTTCTGTGAAAAGATCTTATATTATATTGGAATATAATACTCATATTTGCTCATCTTCTTTATCTTGTCTGCAATTTGTTTAGCACTGAAGGTTTCGATATTATTTTATACATCTATCTTACCGTTGTTATTTTTTTGTATCTTTGTAACTCAGTAATATGCCAGTATTTTTGTAAAATGTTCATATAAAAATAATAAAAAAAAAATGACTATTGAAATTATGATTTTCGTATAATATTATAATCGAGAATTGTTTATACTACAAAAATAGTTAGTTATATTGTTTAGTGTTGATAAATGTATTTATTAATGAGATTAGAAATAAACTTTTAACATAAACATTCTTTGTCTTACCATGAACTTGATATTCAAAGAGAGAAAAGTCATTTTTATACGACAAAATTTAAACACTTTTATTCGTATAATCAGTTGAAATGATTGCAAACAAAAAAATCTCCATTGATTGTATAAATGCTTGTATTATTATCAAGTCAAATTCATCTTATACATATTCTGTATATATTCAAGGAAGTATTCCGACTATACGTTAATTTAAAAGATACAAATAACAAAATGTTTGCTATATATTAAAAAATAAAATTAGATATTTTTCTTTGTTTGATTTGACTAATTGTTAAAGTTTTAAATTAAATTAATAACAAAAATCTTTTTTCATTTATTTTGAATAAATGGAAGGTACAAATAATTTTATTTTCTCTTATTAATCTGTAAATAATTTTAGTATAATAGTCGATGTCATACAATAAAATAAAGATTCAAAAATGGCAAAAAAATACATTTTATTTTGTTTATTACGAAATTATCTTTTTTTTTCAAGATATAACTCATAATAATAAATAGTAAAAAAAAGAAGAGACGTCACGCTGATACTGTAGAACGATATTTCTTTCCTTCTCTTGTGTTCTTCTTCATAATAAACTACTGAAGCATGTTTGCACATGCATATATTTTGTCGTTACTAAATTGAAGTAATGTTGTTGTTTTTCGCATCGTTTCATTCATTAGTAATATGTATCTTAAATAATGTGCGTAATATTTAAATAAAAAAAAGATTGACTAAATAAATCATTTCTTCTGTCATCAACCAAAAGAAATTTTCAGGTGAAGTAAATTGAATATTTAAGTGTTAGTAATTGGACTTATTAAAAATAAATTAATCTTTTATACATTTATTAGTTGTATTTGTAATAGAAGATATTTTATTATTTTGAGTATTGATTCAAAGAAATTTCTTTACATATCACTAAAAATGATGAAAAAACTCAGAAACTATATTAATATACAAATAATTATATCTAAAAAAGACTCTCTTGTCGTATCCTGTCTTTCATGTCATATTTATATATATCCCCCATATAGTATCAACGTGAGATAATAGTGCACATTATTTAAAAAATGTTGTTAAATTATCGATCAGTTAAAACATATACTTATATAAAAAAGTGAACGATAATCTCTATCGGAAGAAAAAAACAAAGTTGAAATAATTTAAAGAAAATACATATCATTGGCAAAAACATTTAACAACTATTGAATATTTAATAAAAAGATAAATGGTTATTGAATTGTTATTAAACTTTACTTTATAATTTTTTTCAGTTTTTCATTTCTGTTATTATCTGTTATGTTAATTTTTTCAAAAAAAAAGTAGTAGTGTATTAAATTCCTAAAGATAATTTTTATTTACATAATGACATTTGCTGCTAATGAAAGCATTCCGATGATCCTTGAAAATCTAATAAAATCATCTTTGAGTTGTCTCAAAGTATTTATAAATGGATGTAATCGAATGATCTGACAAATTTACAATAGTACTTAAAATGCAGTTATTTATTCTGTCCGTTTAATTATAAAAATGATCGTCAACAAAATAACATTTACTTGTTTCGTGTGTATCTGTATCTCATTATAAATGTGACAGTTAGGAAAAAATGCATATTTAAGACAAGTGAAAGAGAAATCAAAATCGTATCATTAGAATGTATGTATTTTTTTACTTCGAAGTAATTACTTTTTTCTTTTTTTCTTGATCAATAATATCAAAGTAATGGTAAATCTGGGTACATTATATATGCGCATCAAACTGTCACATGATTATAAATATTATTCATAAGATTCATATCACTATAATGTTGTTTTGACGTTTTTTATTTCGTTCATAAAATATTTCAGTAATACAATGACTTAATATGTATAAAAATGAGTACCTGTTAAATAATAACCTTATTAATCTTCGAGAATAAATACTCCGACGAAAAAGCAAAAACGATAAACATACTGTAAATTCAAATAGAGGTAATTATCATTCTTTTTTTTATGCTTTTATTCTTGTTTAAAACTGAAATAATATTAAAGAAAATAGATATTTTTCGTCAAAGCATTTGAGAATAATTAAGTATTACTATTTGTAAAGTATTAGCTTTTATTTCTATAGAAAAATAGATTTTTTTCTATAATTTTTTTTGATTTTCATTTCGTTTTGGTTTCATATATCATTTTTCCTGTTTTTTTTCTGTTGAATAGAAACTACCGCTAATCGTCTTCTCTAGCGATTATTAATTTTACTGGTTACATACAAAATCAACGAAAGTAAAACTGATATATAACATCAACTTATAACTCATAGGGTTAAAATGATCTATCGTATGAATTTATATAACAGTTTTTGGTTCAAATGAAATCATTTCTTATTACCATTTAATGAGCAAATAAATTAAGAAGACAATGACATCAATCAAGTCAGTTTGAGAAAAAAAATTTATATATCGACTGCTGAAACTATTTTTTACATAGATATTTTTAATTTCTATCTATGTTTTACGTTTTGATTTATGATAAGGCTCAAACTGTTGCAAATAGCGTATATGTTCGAGACAGTTTGAATTTTTTCAGAAGCAATACGTAGATAAATTTTCTAGCATTTCATATTATAGATTGAAATTATTACATCAATTGATCTATTCCTTTAGAGATTTTCTGCATTCAAGTACATAATTAGTAATGCAACAGGTAATTGATATAAAATTCATTCTAAAAACTGTCTTTTGTTAAATATAATTATTTTACTATAGATGGATGAAATTTCCATGGATGATGGTGCTATCAGAGTTATACATTCATTTACTGAAGAAATTATTCACGTCGATAATATGCAACATGAGAGCTCAACACAAAATCAATCTGATGCAGCAGAATCTAGAGATGTTCCTGAAAAAATGAAGAAGTTATCCATAACTTCAATATCTTTGTATATTATTTTCTTTCCATTCCAAGCCTCATAATATATATAGAATGTATTTTCATTAGGAATCATTCGTGTTGGTCAAGACATCAAACTGCAACAGCTGCCGGTGCGTTTGCTCTCTTCGCAATTTTAATAATGGTCACAAGTATATTGATTGTTTGTCTGACTTCTCCAAAAGCAGCAGGTATGCTTCGATTTTTCTTCATATATGCTATTAATTCATTCAAATTATATATCAAGATCGATACCTAATAGATGGCTTTATTTTGTTTTAGTACTTTTGAGTATTTTATTCATTCTTAGTAATAATATGTTAAAATAATAAATAGAACTAGTATATTTCTTTGAGGAAGAATAGTTCACATCAATCGATAAACATTTTATTATATTCTGTATGTTGTTTTTCATTATTGTCTCACAATAGAACCAATATTTATCTGATTTCATCACAGTTAAAGAATTTTTATGATTCTACTGGATTTGCTGTCTAGTGTAACTCATAAAAGAAATTATGTGCTTAAGAAGAAACGTAGCTTAAACGTATAGTGTGAGTCATTAATATCATTTCTTCTTTCTCCAAAACAACGCGTGTTTTTAAAGCAATTTCACAATAAATAGAAGAAAATGAATAAGTACACATGTCATGTACTTAGAATTCGAGTGCTCAAAAATTAAATGAGATTCTATGAATTCAATAAGCATAACTACATCAGAACAACTGATTAACCTTTACATAATTTTTTTATTTAGTGGAACAGTGTGAACTAAAATTTATACAAACTCCGCAAAATCCGATTGAATACAGTTTTGGCCCTCGATCCGTTGCCGTTGGCAATTTCAATGATGATGAGCAATTAGATATTGTTGTTGCCAATCGTGCCGATGATAGTATTTCTGTATTTCTTGGATATTATAATGGTGCCTTTGCAAGTAGAATGACGTATTCGACTGGTTTATATTCTGCTCCATATATGGTAGCGATCAATGATTTTAACAACGATCATCATACAGATATTGCTGTCGTATATTTCGGTACCAATAGCATCGGTATATTTCTTGGAGGTGGAAACGGCTCTTTCATCAATAAAACAGTAATCTCAACTGGTTCATCACGTCCAATTTGGATACATATAGCTGATCTCGATAATGACACCTCACTTGATATCGTTACAGCTAATTATGGAACTGATAGTATTAGCATATATTATGGATATGGAGATGGAACTTTTTCATATCCGGTCACATATTCAACCGGCTACGATTCTTCACCATTCTCGGTCATCAGTGCAGACTTTAACAATGATAATCATTTAGATCTTGCTATTGCAAATTATGGCACAAATAATATAGGTATATTTATTGCAAATGGCAACAGAACCTTTTTAAATCAACAGTTACTTTCAACTGGAATTAACTCGCATCCATATTCACTCATCGTTGGTTATTTTAATTATGACAGTTTTTTAGATATTGCTGTCGCGAATTATGGAACTAATAATGTCGGTGTACTTCTAGGTAGCACCAACGGTATTTTTACCAGTCAAATAATCTACTCGCTTAATACTTCTTCACCATATTCTATTGGTCTTGGTGACTTCAACAAAGACTATCGACTTGATTTAGTCATCAGTAATCAAGGTACTAATAATATAGGAATGTTACTGGGATTCGGTAATGGCAGTTTTTCTGAAGCAACCATGAGTTCAACTGGCTCTTCTTCTTCAATCTCTCTTGCTGTAGCTGATTTCAACAAAGACAATCTGCTTGACGTTATTATCATTAGCAACGATACTGGCAGTATAGGCATTCTTTTTGGTTATGATGAAGGCTTTGAAACACTAAAACCATATCCAATTGGCATTTATCCCTATTCTCTAGCTGTTGGTGATTTCAACAATGACACCCGACTGGATATCGTCGTTACCAATCAGGGTGACTTCACTGTAAGTGTACTTCTCGGATATGGCAACGGTTTATTTGCAGGTCAAACTACCTATTCAACTGGCTCTGGACCAGTTTCTGTAGCTGTTAGTGACTTCAACAGTGACACTCTACTGGACATCGTTGTTGGTAATGCATATGACAAGACTATAAGTGTGCTACTCGGATATGGCAATGGTTCGTTTGCAAATCAAACTACCTATTCAGCTGGCTCTCATCCAAGTTGTGTGGCTGTTGGTAATTTCAACAATGATACTTGGCTAGATATCGTTGTTACTAATCAAGATGAGAGCACTGTAAGTGTACTTCTCGGATATGGCAACGGTTCTTTTGCGAATCAAACTAAATATTCAACTGGCAATTCTCCATCTTCTGCAGTTATTAGTGATTTCAACAATGACACGCGATTGGATATCATCGTTACTATGTATTTTGGCACCACTATGAGTGTACTTCTCGGATATGGCAATGGTTCTTTTGCAAATCTAATTAAATATTCAACTGGCAATGCTCCATCTTCTATAGCTGCTGGTGATTTCAACAATGATACTCGGCTAGATATTGTTGTTGGTAATTGGAGGGACAACACCGTAGGTGTATTGCTTCATTATAGCAAAGGATCTTTAGGAAACGAAATAACATTTGCCTCTGGTGGTGGTTCTAGTCTACGTTATGTTGCTGTCGATGATTTTAACAATGATACGATGTTAGATCTTATCGTCGTTAATTATGGCACTAATGATATAGGTATACTTCTTGGAAATAGTAGTGGATCATTTTTAGAGCAAAAAACGTTTCTAACAGGCTCAAATCCAGATTCACTTGCCATAGGTGATTTCAATAATGATGGTCAACACGATTTTGCTGTAGTTAATTATGGTAGTAAAAACATTGATATATTTGTTGGAAATGGAAAGGGAACATTTACACGTCAGTTAACTACTGGATCTAGTTTCATTTTCGCTCCTGTAGTTGTTAGTACTGGTGATTTCAACAATGATGGACAATCGGAAATTATTGTTGCATATGATAATACTGATAAGATAGATATATTTGTTGTCTTTGATACTGGCGCTTTTACAAAACAAATTACGTATCCAGCTGGTAATTCTCCATGGTCTGTAGCTGTTGGTGATTTCAACAATGACACTCATTCTGATATCGTCGTTACCAATTATGGTGACAGCACTGTAAGTGTACTTCTCGGATATGACAATGGTTCGTTTGCAGATCAGATTATACATTCAACTGGCAGTTCTCCATCTTCTGTAGCTGTTGGTGATTTTAACAATGACAATCGATCGGATATCGTTGTTGGTAATTTTAATGACAACATAGTAAGTGTACTTCTTGGATATGGCAATGGTTCTTTTGCAGATCAAGTTACGTATTATACTGATGGCGATTCGACTTGTGTAGCTGTTGGTGATTTCAACAATGACACTCTATTAGATATCGTCATTGTTAATTATATTGGCAGCACTGTAAGTGTACTTTTCGGATATGGTAATGGTTCTTTTAGCGATCAAACTAGGTATCCAACTGGCTATTTACCGTATTTTGTAGTTGTTGGTGATTTCAACAATGATACTCATTCGGATATTGTTGTTACTAATTATGGTGGCAACACCGTAAGCGTACTTCTCGGATTTGGTAATGGTTCGTTTGCAGATCAAGTCACGTATTTAACTGGCAATTCTCCATATTCCATCGCTGTTTGTGATTTCAACAATGACACTCGATTGGATATCGTTGTTGCCAATCAGGCGGACAACACGATAAGTGTACTTCTCGGATTTGGTAATGGTTCGTTCGCAAATCAAACTATCTATTCAGCTGGCTCTTCGCCACAGTCTGTAGCTGTTGGTGATTTCAGCAATGATAGTCGATTGGATATCATTGTTGTTAATTTCGTTGACAACACAGCAAGTGTATTTCTCGGATATGGCAATGGTTCTTTTGCAGATCAATTCACGTATTTAACTGGTAATTCTCCATATTCTGTAGCTGTTAGTAATTTCAACAATGATACTCGATTAGATGTCGTCGTTGCTAATTCGAAAGGCAACACTGTAAGTATATTTTTTGGATACTTAAATAAGGGTTTTCAATATCAAATGACACTTATAACTGGTACGAGGTCTTTTCCGCGATCATTCGTCGTTGGCGATTTCAACAATGACACTTATATGGATATTGCTGTTGCAAATTCAGGCACCAATAATATTGGTATTTTTCTGGGATTTGGTAATAGTTCTTTTTCAAATCAAACAACATTTGCAACTGGCTCTGGTTCATGGTCTTTAGCTGCTGCTGATTTAAACAACGATAATCGATTAGATATTATTGTCAGTAATATTAATGATAGTAATATCAGTGTACTTCTCGGTTATGGGAATGGATTTTTTATGAATCAAACAATATATTCAACTGGAATTAATGCTGAACCTTACTCAGTTGCCATTGGTGATTTTAATAATGACGGCTTATTAGATATCATTGTTGCTAATTATCGTGCTAGCAATGTAGTTATATTATTTGGATCTGGTGGTGGTAGATTTACAGATTCAAAAGTATATTGGGTTAGCTATGGATCTTTTCCATTTTCTGTCGTTGTTGGCGATTTCAACAATGATACAAAATTGGATTTTGCGGTCGCTAACTATGGTGATGACAATTTGAAGATTTTATTACAGACTTGTTAATTGATTTCTCGAACTTTAAGCATTTTTATTGTTCATTATTTTTCTATATTGTGCATTTGCTATTACTAATATTTCTTATAAACTTTTTTTTATCTTACTTTATTTAATATATTCGATTAGTTAGAACTATCAAATAAATATGTTCACAAATAAAAAACTATATTGAGTTATGCCCTAGGATCGCGACTTATAATTACTGTCGTGAAACTGTAGAGATCGCAAAACTCATGTATGAACGGAACAGAGTCGAGGATAGGTATTGATAAAGAATAAATATAATATGCCCACATCCATATATTGATTATATTGTAGAATTTCATTGGTATTTTCTTTTATCGTAAGAGAACGTTGTCTGTAAATAGTTTTATTATAAACAATACTATGATAAGTGTTGGTGGTAATATTTAATATTTGTCGATAAAATTATTATATAAACGAAGAACAACAAAACTCGAATAATTTGTAATGTTTTCAGTCTATTTTAAATCTGAAATTTTCATAAGTTCCCGATTATTTTAGAAAGGGAAATGAATTAAATTTTTGCAGAAACAGAAAAGAAGAGGTGAACATTTTTTTTTCACAAAATATTCGAATTATCATGATTTCTTTAATAAAATATTGCACAATCGATGTTCTACATGTTCATTATCATGGAAAAGTATCACACAAACAATTTCCACCTCTTAAAATTGAAATACAAGGCAAGCGTTATTCAGCTTCTTCCTTTGTATGGGTAATTATGTATTTACGATAAGAAATAAACTATTAGAACAGATTTATTGGAAAATAAAATTCTTTCATAACAAATAAATCTGTTAGCCTTGATGAGATACGTGTTCTTAGTTTATTTGTCTATTTAGCTCAATAAGTTACTTCAGGCATATATATCTAGAAGGAGAATCATTCGAATAGTGAAATTTATATGTGATTCAACATCTAGATTCTTATTGTTGAATCTGATTGGATCTCACTGATCGAATTTTATCGTATGATTTACTTAATTTTTACTAGTAGAATGAAATACCAATTTGAACTCATATAGAATAATAGAGTTTAGTCCTTGAATACGTTTGAAAGATTGTTTTAGTCTGAATGAGAGGAAGAGAATGCTTCTCATCAAACAATTTCGTGACGACAAAAGGGACGATTGCTCACTCTCAACGTGATTGTTAGTGCGTACGTTGCATTCCACCAATATCATCTTCTTTATCCAATGGTTTTGGAATTAATATGTCAAAATCGTCGATAGAATCGGATGTTTTCTCAACAATGTCGTCGAAACCAATGTATCAACGTACTTTATTTATTTTCCGAATTTGTTGAGATATTCTAAAGCATACGTTTATGTTATATCATGATAACAAAATCAATATAGAAAACCAGACATAATATTAAGATCAACAATTCATTTTTTAGTTTTACTATTTAATTAACTGATATAAACATTTTATTGTCTAATTCTAATAATTTCTCACATGATTGAATGATTTTAACCTATTTGCGGTGACATGAATATTGCTTTTTCATAATTTGTAAGAGGTTTCACTTCTTTATTTATAACAACTTTTATTAACATTTCTCTAATCAATATAATCTATGCACATTCTTTTAATAGCAGTAAAAGTGTCAACGTCTTTGATAGAAGTGTGGAAAAGCTTTTTCAATGGATTATAATTAATTAAGCAATGAAATAGTTAAAACTAGTAATAGCTGAGTTCTTGAGGGTATGGTTCAAAATATTAGTATTACACTCACACCCTCAAGATGAAATGTATAAAATTGATAACTAAATTTATGAAATATTCGATGAAGGAATAAGTAATCTAAATGATCGAAAAATACTTGATGAAAAAGTCTTTCAGTCATCTTTTGAACCTAAAAAAAATAACAGATATTGTCTAGTCTGTGATGTGAAATCAAATGAAAGAAAATATATTCTCTTAAAATATTCTGGAATTGATTCTGATAAGAAGATTATATATGGATTTAGAATCTTACCAGCATGTCGAATGGAATCATATAACGTCTAATCCAGAAAATATAACTCAAAAACAACTTGAACATGCTCTGCATCTATTTTTACAATGTATCAATATTGATGATCCCATACTTTAATTTCATTTATTTTATTTTTCGACAGAAAAGAAATGATTAAAAATGGCTCTAGAGATATAAGGTTGTGCGTGTGACTATTATGGAAGAAGAAGTGCACGCCGGCACCTACACTCTCTGTCGAATGTTGAGAATAGCATATTATATTTCTAAACGAACAAAAGATAAGTTACCAATAAAATGAATCTCGTTTTCTTTTCTTTCAATGTCCATGCAAAACCATCGTTATTTACTTCTAACTCATAAATGATAGCAAAAGAAAATAAAAAGCAAGTCATCATATAATCTTATTCATTTTTTTGTCTGCCCGTTGTCGGCTTGAGAGGATAAACAGATTCGAAGCACAATACAAAATTATGACTCACCAGGTGATCTCTACATTACCACTCGGTATTGAAAAATATTTTTGTGTGGATGGCGGCTGGGCGACTATCGCACATGCTGCTCATTTGAATGGAAATTATTCGATGTTAATCAGCAATGCTTCAGATGCTCTCCAATGTCTTTTAAAACGTCATTCTCGCATGCGCACACGTCTTCGAGTAGATGATAATCGATATTTTCTCGACAATCTGCAATACAACAATGAACAGTTATCAAGCGATTTATTTTTCTCAGCTATTGAAATAACGAATGAGTCGTGGCAAGAAATCGTTGAACGTCGATGTAATCAAGATCCATATTCAAACAATGGGACGATTATTTTTCCAATGTTTCATTTTATGCTTTTATACAATTCACAACAGTCTGATGATCAATTATTTCATTTAGTTCTCTTTCAGAATCATTGTGTCTCGGATGGTCAAAGTGGATTTATTCTTATTCATGAGTTTTTGACTTTGGCAACTACTTCGAATGCACTCGAAATATTAGAGCCGCTCAATACAGAAATACTTCCATTGTCTGACCAATTGATTCCTCGTCCATATGGTTTGCTCTATCATATCATAGCATTCATAGGCAAACAGAGTTTCAGGCGAGAAATACGTCAACTAACTCATCCACGCATTCCTGTCAAAAGCATTCCTCTCAACGACTGTCAACCAACAAGATTTGAAGTTCAGCGGTACAAAATGAGGTTTCTGTTTGCTTCGACGTCTTCCAGTCTCTATTCAAAACTACATCCACAATGTCGTCTACATAGAGTGACATTAAATGGTCCGCTCATGGGATGCCTCCTATTGGCTATTCATCATTGTTTTCCATTAGACGACAACACTCTACTGAAGCCATTCAGACTTGGTGCTCTGTTTAACATGCATTCGCGTCTTCCACAATCACCTCTCACACCTTCTTCAGTCGGTTTCTTTGTAGGTACCGGTGAAGTTAAGCTCAAACGATCGCTTTGCATTCAGTCTACTCAATTTTGGACACTGGCACACTACTGCATGACTAATACTCAAAATCAACTGAAGCGAGATGGTGTTCCATTAACAATGAATATTTTTGCTGATATGATGCGAAATGAACAAGAACTCGACCAATTTCGTCAACTCTCTACCGAAGGACGACAGTCAGAATTTGACTTTTCAAATATTGGTAAATATCCGTTTTCCTGCAAATACAATGAAGGTGAAGTACAACTGCAAGGTATTCATGTCATTGATACTATGAGTGTCTACCGTACTTCGACCAATATCCTTGTTACTTGTACGGATAACAAACAGTTAGACTTTGCTATGGCACATGAAATGGAAAGTGATGAAATGGCACAAGATTTTCTTGACTATTATTTGCGTCTTATTGAACTATGTGCCGATAGTGAACATTGTAAAAGTGAAACAACTCTACATGAACTACTAAAAATGATGGAATAATACATAATGGATTCCGATTTTTCAAGATTTGTTAAAATTCATTGAATAGAACATGTTAAATGTAAAAAATTGCTTTTATGTATATATTTATTTATATTAATTGATTCTATTCGAATAAATCGGATAATCATATGTATAATCTAGAGAATATTGAAAAAAGAAAACAATAAATGACTAGAATTATATCAATTCAAGTCTACACATATACACAATAGATAAATTCACATTGAACACTCCATTAGATCGGCGAGTGCATTATCAAGTAATTGCCGGGCATAATCACCTAGAAATTAAATTATATTATATCTTTTGTTTACATATAAAATTTCCTTACTAGGCATTTGATATGTATGTATTATTGGTGAACCTATAGACATATTTGTAATTGGTGATGAAAGAACTGATAAATGACGTGTCGGACGAGAAACAGAAGTCATCACTACAGCTTCTAAATGGAATCAAAAAAAGATAATTTTCTTATTACTGATTCTATGTCATTTTCTTATCGAACCTTGTTGTGGAGTAACTGCAATGAAATGTTGTTGAGAATTTTTTGTTGAATTTGTTGAAGTTTTCAATGGAATTGGTGAACAATCAGGTGTTATTGGTTTTGTATGTCGAAAAGGTTGACTTTCTCGATATTGTTGTTGACTTGGACTTGATGAACGTTGTTCATGCTAAAATATTAATTATCAATTGAAATTAATTTTCAATTAAAATAATTTACATCAAATAAAGATGAACGACGAGGTTGTACTATTAATGGTGTTTCATCAAGTAGATCATCTTCATCAGAGAATAATTTTCGTCGTATTTGAGACATATTTAATGATGAATTTGATATAGTTACAATTGGTTCATCTTGATCACTATTTGAAGCAAAACTTTGTATTAATGAATCAAGATCGGCTGCTGGTGGAAGTGAAAGACGTGTTTGACAACCCACTAAAAACAAATGATTTAATACAAATATTCGTTTGTTTTATTTCGTACTATGTCGAGTAGTTCGAGTATGATTAAGTGAAGAATTCGAGCTTGATGATGAACTACTTGACCATGACTGATTTTTTGTTTTTGGAATATTATTCGATGTTATAGGTGTCGGTAAATCAAGTTGTGTTTGACAAAAATGATCGGATGCTCGTTGATATCTATCACGTCTTTCTTCATTACTAAAAAAATTGTTATTAATAATAGTTTATATATAAAACAAAACATACAAAAGAGATGTATCTATTTGAACAATATGTTCACTTAATTGATGTGGATAAACTTGTGCACGACGTTCAATAGAAAGAATATCGGCAACAGAATTATTTTCTTGTTGCTAAAAATACAAGCGTAATTTAAAAAAAAAAAAAAATTAAAACTAACTTCATTGAATATACTAAAACTAGCAAGTCTCTGTTTCAGATGAACTGATGTTGGAGAATCAAATGGATTTGAAATTAATCTATAATCAGGTGTTTTTTGTTCTTGAGAATAATTCGTATCATGTTGTAACATAGATACAGATGATGATAATGAATCTTTCATTATTCTTTCATAGACACATTTATTCTCTACACTTTCTTTGTCTATTCTCTTCCACCATCCATATCTTTCTTGTCATCTAATGGACTCGTTCGCATTTATTTGACATGACAACAGCGTTAAATGGCGAATAGAAATATGTACACTAACACCATCTACTCAACGAATGAAAAAAAGAAGTCTTGGCTAATATATATTTTATTTTTATATTAATGAATCAAAATCTATTTTATTTCCTGTTATTAATATATCAAAATACAAAAAAAAAGGAACACAATATGTTGTAATATATATCTGGCAATTAGTTCACTACTGATCATGAGAGCTTAGTTTTTTTTCGAAGCATGACTGCCACTTGAAGGTACTGTTGATATTAATTTTCGCTGTTGTGTTAATAATCCTTCAAGATGTTCAGTTCGTTTAACTGCAGTTTCGTATTGAACACGTAACGTATGTACTTGTTCATCTTTTTTAGTAATTGCTTCTTTAATTCTTAAAAACGAGTAAAATTATTATTTGAAAATAGAAAAAAATACCAATACTTTTCATGTATAGTTTCAAGTTCTTTTTCTTGTCGTCGTTGTAATGTTTCTAATTCATCTTTTTTCTTTTCTAATTCTAATTGTTGTCTAGCACGTAATTCTGCAATTTCACCTTTTATTCGACGATTTTCATCTTCTGTTAAAACAAGTCGATCAGCAAATTCTTGTCGAATTATATCCGATAAACGTTCACGTTCTTGTTGTAAACTTTCAGTAATCTATTTCATAAAGAAAATTTTACTATATTGAATTATGAGTTATCTTTTAATACCTTTTTAATATCATTTATTTCTAATTCTTTTTGTTTAAGAAGTACTTGTAATCGTTCATTATCTCCTATATAAAAAAAAGGAAATAATCGAAAAGTAAGTTTCAATTTATATCGGGTGTGGTGTTAAATGTCGAAAGGGAAAATGTCGAAAAGAAAAGAAGGAAAATATCGAAAATGAAGTTTGTAATTTTTTTTTAATATGACACGATAGGTATGGGTGAGTGTGGGTGTAGGTGCGGAGAAAGTCCAGGTGCTTGATAAAGGAAGAGATTCCCACACCCACACCCTTCGACATTTTCCGTCAATCCCTTTATATTTACCTTGAACTTCTGTCATTTGTGCTTTGATTTGATTAAAACGTTCTTTTGTTTGTTTTTCTGAATTTTCTAATTCACGAAATTCTTGTTCATATTTATCTCGAATACGTCTAAAATATATGTATATATATATGAACTTATTTCGAGTGCTTTTCTTTTTTACTTGACACGATTTTCAGCTGTACGTTCTGTTTCTTCTTTTGTTGATGTTGTATCAGATTCAAATTGTGAAATAATTTTTTCAATTTCTCTATCTCTTTCATGTTTCATTTGTTCGCGTAATTCACGTTCTTTATTAGCTAATAAAGTTTCTTGTTTTTTCATATAGTTTTCTTCCCAATTTTGTCTATCTAATGTTAATTTTTCTTTTAATTCTTGTATTTCATTTGTATAACGACGTTCTTGTTCTAAACGTGTCTTTTCATATTCATGTTTTGTTGTTTCAACAACATTTCGATGATTTGCTTCTATATCTCGTCGAAGTCTATACAGAAGAAATAATTCAATAGAGAAATATTAAAATCCTATATTCTACTTGTCAAGATCAGCACGTTGTTTTGTTGCTGAATCAGCTTGTCGATTTTTTTCGTCTTCAATTTCCGTATAAAGTCGACGTTTTTGTTCATTTAATAATTTTTCTTCATCATGTAAAACTTTTTCATATTTATCTCTTGCTAATTCACGTTCATGAGCAATAGCTACATCTTTTTCACGTTCTAATTGATCACGTAATTCTTCTACCATACGAATATAACGTTGTGAAGCACGTTCATCAGCCGCTAATAATTCCGCTTCATGAACAACTTTCACTTTTGCTAATTCATTTTTATGTCTACTAATTAATTTTTGAATTTCAGGTTCTAAACCACGTACAGTTAATTCTTTTATTTTCTTTGTTTTTTCTTCTATCCAATGTTCACGTCGTAATTTCTCAGCTGCATCATGAACATCTTTTAATTTTTGTAAATCATTTCGTTGAGATTCTTCAACAGCACGAATTCGATCATTACATTTTCTATCGATTATTTTTAATTCGGATATTAAATGTTCACATCGTTCAGATAATCGTTTTTTATCACCAATTAACTGAAGAAAAAAAATTAGTTATGATTTTTCTTCAGGAATAAATTATTTTGTATAAAAATCGACTGAGTTATAGAAAATAAAAATCTTACTTAACAAACCTGATCAATAAATTTTAAATGACGTTGAATAATCGTTTCATATTCATCTTTTTGTGCTTGCAAGTGATGTTCAAAATCTCGTTCAGTTTCTTTTCGATAATAATCATTTAATTCATGTTGTTGATTCTAAAGTTATAATTGAAAGAAAAATAAAAGCAATGATCTATTATTTAATTTACTGGATGATATTGAACAATAAATGGTTGTCGTTGATTTTCTTCATTATCAAATCTTGATTGAAATGGTTTATCTCTACTCGTATGAATTGTTCGAGTACTATTTCTCAGTTCATGTTCTCGAGGAGTCCGTGGATAAACAGGATTCATCAATGATTTATATGGTGTTGTTATCTAAAAATGATTTCAAGTATAATTATATTTATTTAATTAACTATTTACTTTTGTTTGTTGATCGATTAATGATGATGTTCGATGATGAGGAATAGAAACCGATTGTATTAATTTAACTGGTTGTTGTTGTCGTTGAGATGATTGAGGCGGAGTTGGAAGACGATTTGTTCTAGGCGATGGTGGACGACGTCCAGTTGATTTTTGTGATCGAACACTTGCAACAATTTGATCATATGGATTAGTTTCATCTAGATTTGAAGTTTGAAGTGGTAATTCATCAATAAATGGTGGTGGTATGGATGCACTTGGATCAATAAGATAAACTAGAAAAAATGAAAATCTTTTCTGATAGTTTTGTAAGAGAATATTTAAATTACCTGTATCATCTTTCAATGGAGTTTGTATAGGAAATTGTTCGATTTCTTCTAATTTTTTTAATTGTTCATATACATCATCCAAGGTTACTTTTGATGTTACTGTTGATGTAGATGAAGATGTTGTAACTGAACTAACTGATCTTATTTTCTATAGAAATAAAATAGATAAACAATATATCGTTTTTTTTAGTATTTTATTTTACGTCATCAAAATGCAAAGATGGTGGAACTGGTGATGGTATAGGTGTCCTTCTTTGTCTTGCTGTACTACTAGCTGATGTTGGTCGACTATTATTTAATCTATGATGAATATTATTCTCTTGTTGGGAAGTTTCCTATATGAAGAATAGAAATTTAATATATAAAAGATTAAAAATATACTCTAGCTGATGGTATTCGTATTTGTTCGTTTTCGAAAGGTTTTTCTTGTTCAAATTCTATATGAGTTTGTCGATATGATTGTTGAATAATTATTGGAGATTTCGCAGCATCTAATTCAATTTCTGTTAATGTCAATTGTTCAATATCAACCGATTCTAGAGCTGGTAAAGGTTGTTCTTGTTGCTGAGCAATTGTTTGAAATAGATTAGTGCCTGTTACAGTTCCATTAAGACTATCTCGTGACATGCCTAGTGGTCCTACACCTTGAGTTTGTTGTTCGGGAGTAAATGGTGAATTTAACTGATGAAGTTCATCAGCCCAACGACGTGTTTCATCCCATTCATTATCATCAACAGATTTTTCTTGAAAAGATTTCTGTTGACTTTGATAAGTAAAGAATCCATCAGCATCATGATGCTGATGACGTGGACTTAAAACACGAAAAACACTCGAGGATGTTGATGATGGTATTGACTAAAGAAATTAAATAAATCATTTGTAATATCTCGTTTAGTTTTCATAAATACGAGACAAGTATGATTTGAAGTTATAGAATATCCTTGAACGTAATATATTCATATGAAAGACAAATATTTGTTTTAATTATTGAGTACTACGCTCATTCTATAGTTTCAAGGATCTTTTATGAACTCCACCAGATCGACAATACAAATAAATCTGATTTAAAAATATCTACAGTCAGGAAAAAAATTAAGATATATTAAAGGACTAGTTTGTCTTATTAATTCTTGAAATTAAAAGCATGAACTCACTGAAACAAAATTAGTATTATGATAAAAAAAGAAGCTATCAAAGATTAGAATAAACTTCCTATAATCAGCAGTATCATAAAAATGCATACTTTTTTATCAACAGGTGATGGTGGTGGTGATTTAGTTACAAGAGATCGTTGACTACTATTACTCAGTCGTCTAAAATATTAATAATAATAGTATTTTCTTCGTAAATTTTTAGGTAAAGTTTACCTTTCTCTAGCACTACTTAAATTGATACTTGTACTCATACTTGCTTTACGTTCTTTTGCACTACCTAAAATAAATACAAAATTTATTTTTAGTAATTATATTTAAATTTATTTTCACCTCCTCTTGAAGGTGTTAGCGGTTGTTTCGATTGAGAATTCGTTCTTGCGCTTAATGGACGTAAAGGTGAACTTCCTGGTTGAATTGAAGTACCTTGTAATGATAAATTAAAAGCTTCAGTCTTTCGAGATTGTTGATTATCCATAATATACGTTTCCTTTTTCTTTTTTATCAATTGATGAACAAATCCAATATAACCATGAATTAATTCTTTAGTTTTGATAAAACTAAGCAATAGACTTCGTATAAAAATCCATAGATGTCAGACGATTTTCTTATAGAGGTTAAAAAATTCTCTATGATTGGTTAATTAATTAAAGTAATAAAAATTTACTAGAAGACGAACAAAAAAAAAAAAGAAGATATATATATTCATTTATTCATTACCAATAGACCGAAATTTTTCCCGGTGATGTTAGCAATATTCATCTAAGTCAATTTATTTTTTTTTGTTTTGTTTTGCTTTAAAATTAAAATGTCAGACAACGGTTAGTTTAAAACTAATTTATTTGAATTAATTCTCTAAAAAACATTTTTTTATAGTTAAAACAACTTTATCAACTGATGATAATACTGACAAAGAAATTAAATCAGATGTATCATCTGCTACTAATGGGTAATAAATATATATAGTTATTTAAAATGATTTTTATTGATATTTTCTAGCGATACAAATTCATCGACATCTGTACGTTTATTTGGTCAATTTAAACAAAATGGTTTTGGTTTCAATAGTCTATCAACATCAACATTTGGTCAAGTATTACCAAAAGAGAAAACTGATGATAATATTTCAGCATCAACATATTTTACAAATACACTTTCAAAAATCTCAACAACATCGACAGGTGGTTTTGGTGCATCATCAACACCATTAGCTGCATCACTTGCTTCACTTGGTGCCAAGTAAATATAAAAATATTAATGAAAACTCGCATTTATTTTTCTCTTTTTAGTAAACCATTATTTGGTGGTTCAAGTGGTACAACTCCAAGTTCATTTACAGATCTAAAAACAACATCATCAAATTCATTACAAAGTAACATTTAACTTGAAGAAAAAAATATCTTTTATTTTTTTCCAGGTAAAACAAATACTGATGAAGAGAATGATGAAAAAGATGAAAATGAAGAAGATAATAAAGCATCATTATTAGAAACAGTAGCTGAATATGAAGCTAAACGAGCATCAACACATCCAGCTACAACTATACAAGGTGATACATCAACTGGAGAAGAAGATGAAATAACGAAATTTCATGTTAGAAAAAAGTTATTTTTTATTTACTGATCTTTTTTTCTATATAAATTGTTATATAGATGGCCGGTAAATTGTTTATGTATAATGCTGAACAACAACAATTCGTTGAACGTGGCTATGGAATATTAAAAATTAATGAAAATCATGATCCATCAGATTGGGATCGATTGCAAGCTCGAATAAGTAAATAATTATTAAAACTAAACTTTTGATTTTATCATAAACATTCTATCACTGCCTTCAACTAATGAAATACGTAAATCTCTGAGTTAAAATTTATTCAAAAAGTTTTGTCATCTGTAATTAAATCGTTTAATACATATGTAAATAATAAAACTTCTATAATGTAAGCTTATATAAAGGTTCGATAGATAGACTGATCATATTCGAATATTAAAGTATGATAATGTTTAATTTAATTTTTATTTAGTTATGAGACTTGATAAATCATTTCGTGTTATTCTTAATTCACCTATATTTCCAAAAATGACAGTTGAACGTGCTACTGATCGTTCAGTACGATTTGGTGCTCAAGATGAATCACAATTAAGAGTATTTATTATCAAAGTAAGAATTAGTATTTTTCTTTAAACGAAATATATTAAAATTTTTTTTATTCATGAAGTCTTCAGCAAATGAATGCGCTAATCTATGCAAAGAATTACAATCACGTATTCAGATAATTGAACAACAACAACAAGCATCAAATACAAATACACCTGTATATATATATATATTTTTATTAATTTCAACACTATATGAGAATTTATATTTAGACAAAAATTAGTAATACAAATGTTTCATCTGACGTAGTTGTTCTCGATGATACATCACCTAAACCAAATTCATCAATTGGCACTCGTAAACGATCTCATTCAAAAAGCGATTCAGATACATCAGAAACAACAAATGATATTTCAAAAAAAACCAAGTACATATCATTTAAATATTGAGTCAGAGAATTTTTTCGAAAATATCCTTCTCGAAGTAAATAACTCTTCATGAATAAATCATAAGAACAATTACTTATATGTCTTTCCTTAATCTCATCGAAACCTATATAGAGTTGAATATCAATAGAAAGTCGTCCTTATAATCAAAACAATAACAATTTTTTTTCCGTATTGTAAGAAGAAAACAGAGATATAATAAAATTAATAGTTTGAATGAGTAGTATATATACAAATTATAAGCGAAAAGAGAATTATGTAAATAAGATTGTATCGAAAAAAAAATCATTTGTTTATTTTGATTTATAGTCTATGCGAAGAAAAAAAAAACATTTTTTATCTTTATTAATCGCTTCTTCTTTTTATTATAGAGTGGTTGAAGGATATCGAGATATAAACAATGATGCTGCTAATCAATCAACTAGTCCAGATGATTCTTTTGAAAGTAATAAAACAAGTGAATAACAAAACGACAAACAAATAAACCAAAAGCAGAAAAATTCTTAATTGTTGTTCTTCTTTCTTTCGTTTTTTATTATTATTATTATTGTGAAGAAAAGAAAAAAAATAGATTATATACAAATAGATTATTTTGTTTGATTTTGTTATACATGACATGGATCATGTCGTCTTCGTTTTGATATCTGAAAAAGACTAAAGGGTAAACAAAAAAAAATATGCTGTTGTTGTTGGTGATTATTATTATGGATTGTTGTATCATTATCAAAATGATGTTGTCGATTGATAGCTGTACTTGCATTAGATTGTTTTGAATGATAACGATGACATTTTTTTAATGGTCGACAATATGAAGGATTTGTTAATTGTCGTTGTTTTTTACTTTTTTGTACATTTGGTGCTGCTAAGATAAAATGTGATGGTTGATTGATAATCGGAACAAATTTTGGTGTACTGCATAAATATGGTACAAATGCCATTTTGTTTTTTTTGATAGAATGTTTTTCTATTGATATGAACTTCTGTCTATTTATATACATCGAGATATATATATATACATTGGATATGGGTAAGAAGAAAGCATCTACTCAGCATGTGATCGGTATGCCGATATATTGTTTTATCTTTTTTTTCGGATTTATGTTATTCACATCCACCTACCGAGCTAATTGAGTTTAGTTTAAGAAATCATTCGATCAACCATGGTAATGTCAAAAGAGAAAGTAAAAGAAAAAAGTTTATTTATAGATATGTATATATATATATATTATTAAGTCAACGTTGAGTGCGAAATTCACATAGAGTTAATTATATATGCATATTATTTAGTAGAAATAAAAAAATCGACTAAAAAAACAAAAATATATTATAAATAAATGATAAGATATGTTATATACGTGAAAAACAAGTATTAATGTATATATATACACATCACATGGGATGGACTGACTGTAAATATCAGTAATCCTTAAGAACAACAAAAGGTAGATATGAAGAGTTGTTCCTTTTTGTTTTATTATCACTTATATGAAATGACATTTAAGAGAAATACAAAACAAGCTTTTT